GTGTGCATTCTGTGAAGTCCTTTATTTCAAACCCTCTTCTTTTGGTCTTCTCAAGTTCTAGAAAAGGCAAAAAATAGCATATGGTAATTCTATTTGATGCAGCTACCCCTCATAGGTATCTTCTGGAAGGAGTTAAAGACATCCTATTACAGTGATATGGGCATACATCCATGTCTATAGCAGCACAATAGTTACATTTTGGAAGTGGCCTATTATGTCCAAAATCAAATGTATGTCACAGAAAATGTGGTATCTATATACAATAGAGCAATAAACTTGAATAGAGAATAAACCTGAATCAGTTGTAGGAAAGTTGGTGCACCTTGTGACCATGTGAAATAAATCAGACACACAGGTAAATACTCTTATATGAGAAACCAATACATAAATAAAAAGCAAAATAAAGTACAGATAATAGGAAATAGGGAGATAGATCTTTTGCAAATGGGAAGGGGACCAAGAGATGGAGGAAGGGAAGTGGAACGGGGAAGAGGATGAAAAAATAATTGAGATGCTATGCATGCATTCCAACTCCCCATGAGGAATCTAATCATTATGTACTACAAACATGCACTAACAATAAAAATTTTTACAATAGCAAAATGGTAAAATTGAAGAAGTCATTGGGAGAAATATTCCCTAACTCATCTCCTAGTGGATACAGCGTAATTTTACAAACTGAAAAATAAATTTCACTTTTTGAGAAATTCACCAGCTTGAACTTTTCCTTTCCCCAAATGCCTGACTTATTTCTTGAGCAACTATACATTAAAATCCACTGACTGAATATAGAAACAATCTTAGCATACCAGCTGCCATAACATGCACAATCCATGTAAGTTCCAGGGTGAGAGAACTTCTCACATCGACACTGGGCTCTAAGTTGTTAAACCTGAATCTCAGGGGTGACCTTTACCTTCCTCTGCTCAGAGGGATGTACCTATGGAAAACAGCATTTTCGTTGAACAGGCAGACTTCAAAATTGGCCGTTTTATTCCAATAGTGGTAGAGAAGCCTGACACCTGAGAGCTGGTGCACCCAGGAATGGTCATTGATCACAGAATGAGTTTGTTCATCCCATCACACCACATCCAGCAGTAGCAACAGCCTCATAGGTAAGCAGGGCTGCAACACAATGCATCATGGAAAATGTGTTTTGCTTTTATTTGTGGGGCGGGGGCCAGAGATTGAACTCAGGACCTTGAGCTTGCAAAGCAGGCGGTGGAACCACTAAGCTAAATCCCTGGCCCTGGAAAATGTGTTTTGAAGTCAACCATAAATTAAATCCCAGAAACAAACAAAAAAATCAAAATTCACATTCAAAAGATTTCTTTTTACTAAATAAGAACATTCACTGGCCCTCTGAGCAAGAGCCAAATGCTGGTGTGCAGAGAGGGTCTAACTGGTTCCCAGCCTCTCCCCACACTACTACTGCAACCCAACCCAGGCAGGAGTTGGGGAGGATGCTTAGGATTTTTCTTTTTTTTTTTTTGAGACAGGGTCTCACTATGTAGTTGAGACTGACCTGGAACTCACTATGTAGCCCAGGCTAGTCTAGAACTCACAGCAATCCTACTGCCTCAGCCTCCTGAGTGCTGGGATTATAGGCGTGTGCTACCACGCCCAGCTGCTTAGGTTATTAGAAGCAGAGACCAAGGAAGGTCTGTATTCCCTTGTGAGGCTCAACTGGCTGCTGCCATAGAAAAAAGAGTTCGACTCCCTGTCTCCTTGGCTGAAGTCAAATACTCTCCCCTTTTAAAGGCCAGGCCAGTAAGAGGTGAAACACTACCTCTCTGGAGATACCCGATAACATAAATTCTGTGTATGAAGTAAAATCTGGGGGTAAAGGATGAGAAGACAGGCACCATAGGAAAGTCGAGGCTTGAGATCAAGGACAGTCTTTGGTGAAGAGCTGCATCTTTGGCTATGAGCTTACTGCTCGGGTCACTGAATGGTTCCCTTATGGTTTGGTAGAGTGGGACGGCAAAGCTAGAGGCTGACTTGCCTTTTACTGATCTAAAATGTTATTAACCTGAAAGACGCATGACAAGTTAAAACAGCAATACTGACAGTTGTATTTAGTGAGTAGTTTTTGCCAGGCACTTTGGTTTGCACCACATATTAGACCTTTTACAAATAAGCTGATTTTCTCAAGGTCTTCCTGTCGTAACCAGCGGGACACAGAAGCCCACCGAGTTCCTTCTAAGCAGAGGATGCCCATATGTTCAAAGTGACTCCTCCATATCTATCTTATGCTATACAATGCCTCTCACTGGACTGGAGGTAGGTTCTGATGGTGGGAGAGCCTCCTTCTTTCCCTCATGCTCCCTAGTAACAGCTGCCTGCTGACTTCTTGCCAGGCTTGTCTGTTTTTTATTCCATGTGGCTCTTGAACTGACTACCACCTCAAGGAACGGACTAGAGCAAGCCATGAGAAGAGCAAGGCATAAAGTGAGATACATGGAAATTAAATTTACTAGTAGGTGGCCATCAGTAACCAAGAACGTAAAGTTATCTTTGTAACAAACCAGGAAAAGATCCATCCTAGAAATACTTGGGAAAAGGTGAAATAAATTTCTCTCAAACTACTCCCCCTCACCTCAAACACACTTATCCCAGCATTCTGGCTGCTTTCTGAAGCCATTCTGGAAGCCCTCTTTCGTGTGTTTACAAGGTGTGATGAAAAAATATATTGTACATCCACTGCCATCCAACACAAAGGCAGGCTCCTCTACCGTATGTCATCTACCTTATTCACTGCATAGCGCCCTGTACAACTTCCCAAAGTCAAAATGACCACGGAAGAAACGTTCTGAGTCGATTTAGGACACACGAGGGACCGCACCTAAGGACATGAGGGAGGGACTTCCAGTACTGCTTCACAAAGGGGTAAGAACAGTGAGAGAAAGGGTATTCAAAGTGAAGGGGATAATTCTGAGGGAGAGTTACGTCAGTGCGCCTTTTACTGGAATATTTTTTAACAAGCATTCGTTGTATTTTTTGCTTGCACCTAGTACATGTATTTATTGCTGTCCAAAAGGGTGAAATATCTGAAGGGGTTTTAACTATTTTGCCATTTACGGCAAATCCACCTGATCAAAAAGTACTTTTTCCCCTTGCTTATTCATTTTAAAAAGTATTCTAAATCCATTTTCACTTTTAACAGCTGTGTTCACCACATAGCACATTTCTCATTCTTTCATTTAAAAAGGGTATGGGGATGAACCAAACAATGAAATTATGTAATATGGGGGCAAATTATAGTTTGTATAAAGTTTTAAAGTATAAAATAAAATACAGGATAAATGAATTATGCCACTTTTATCACAAAATCATACTATATTAACGGATTCATTTTAAAACAAATACAATACAGAAAAAGCCACGGTTAATTTCACTTTAATTAAAGTTAGGAATATGGAGACTAGCTTAATTTTCCTTTTATTTCCCAAATATCACTTACTTTGTAGTTCCTTTTGCTCTATTTAACATTCATGTAGTAATATACTTGTTCTATGAATGCATTTGTGATTTCAAGTATGTATCTACAAGTCCTTAAACACCCATTTATACTAAAATGTCGATGTTAAACTTCTGGTTTAATAAAGAAAATTTTTAATATTAAGTGAGTACTGTTTCATTTATAATGCTGACTTTAAAATGAAATCTGAAAACAACATGTAAAATTATTGCTTCCAAAGTTGGCACAATCTAACACAGAATTCAGACAAAAACAAACTGCGTCACGGTAGTTACATAACCAAACTTTATCCCCCCTTTTGACATTTTATACACCTATATAACATGTTTTTAGTCTTTAAAATCGAAGGGATGTCCTGCTATTTACACTCTTAAATTCTGTACACATAAAGATATATCCAGAGGATATCACTATGTTTAACCACAGCAACAACTTAATTTTTTCATGTTAAGCAGTACAATAAATGTTTGGAGAAATTCAATGCCAAGTTTCACATTATAATTACTTTGCCAGATAATACAAAAAATTGACAATGTAAAAACCAATATTTATTTTCATTATTAAAAAAAACTGCAACATTTATTTTACAATCCCTAGAACTGTGAAATAGCTATTCTTTTTAAATTTACACCATTGAGGGAAGTACTTTAAATGTCAAAATATACATGTTAGATGTGATTTAGTATATAAGCACCAAAAATCTAAAAAGTTTATAAAAAATTGTTTAAACATATACGGTGCATTTACTTATGAATTACATTCAGTTTGAGGGAAGAAACGGAACCCCAAAGTTTATTAATTATTTAAGAAATATCCAAGTAACTTCTAACTTACAGGAAAATAAATACTGCTTTGAGATTTTTATGCAAGTCATTTAAAATTTAGATTCAAATTTAAATGCTGCCTATACTGTGAAAGTTTGCTCATCAAATCTGTTTATATTCCAGTATAAGATACTCCATAGCTAACATTGAGTGCCCTAAAGCAATTAAAATAAAACTGAATCATTTAGGGATCATTTGAAGTTAAGGAAAAAGAATGCCTTTACTTTTATTTAGAATTGGGCATAAGGTCATTTTGGGTCAAATAAAATTTTTAAAATATCACCAGTCTATCAGTAATTAAGACTTGTACAATATGCCACTATAGTTCTGGGCAATAATTACCATTATGAAGTCATATGAAGCAAACACAGAATTTCTCAGTTTCCAAGTCATAATTATACTAAGGCATGCCCCTTTTCAAATCACTTGGTCAATGCTGATAATAAATAGGAAAAATATATGCTTGTATTGCTTTAAGTATACTGCCTCAGCTGGAATGAATGGCCTAACTAGGTTGAGGAGGGGATCTGGCCTGGTTCCTCAGTTGTGTGAAGTTCCTACCTTGAGTTTTACTCTCAACAGCTTACACATTATCAAGCTATTCACACTGCTAACACAAAATCCAGAGGCTACGGTCCTGAATGACATTTCTATATTGACTTTTTACTGTGTGCATTAAAAAAAGAATTTGTTGTGCTTTCCACAAATCTGAAATTTTCGTATCAAATGTTTTATTTCTTGGTTTCTTGGAAAGAAAAAATAAAGACTAAGAAAAGAGATAATACATAAGGAAAATTAGACTGTAAGGTAACATTACACATACAAAGAGTCAAATCTCTCTTTAATTTAATAGATACTATAATCACAAGGCCAGATATATGTCACTCTATAGAAACAAAACCTCCTCTCTAAAAATCACAATAGATTTTTGCAGCAAGCACTATATATATATATATATTGATATATATATATATATATTGATATATATATATATCAATATTTTCACAATCTGCTCAGTTATCCACTGAGTATACTTTTAGAATTAAAGTTTGTTGTTACCATAGCAGTCTAAATATTGTGCTCTTAGGGAAATATGCTTAAAAATGGTTTAGTGATTTGCTCATTGCGAGGACTATTTACAAAGATAGCTATTTATGTTAGCAATAAATAATCCTGATATCAAAAGAGAATGGTCATGCACACACCGAGATGGCTGCATGCTATTAAAATATTTACACGTAGTTTCTTCTTTATAGCTCTCCCATTGGTAGTCAAAGTGCACTTCCATCAATCTTGCTTCTGGGGGATGCATCCTTCCATTTCTACAACTTCAGGCCATCCTTCATATTTGTTTGTGTCCTTGTTGTTTTTTATGTGCTATCAGAACAGGATAAAATTATACAGTTTAGAAGACCTTTGGAACCTGATTTATTCTAACATACTTTATTTGTCCTCATTTCAGTAATGCTCATATCAACAGTGAGGTCATATAAATGACTGCTCAAGATATAAATGAGCTTGGAAGTTGGCACACAGGTGGCACACCTTCAGAAAATAGTTGAAAGAACAAGACATTGCAGATGTTTTTAAAAGATCATGTTAGACAAAACAGTAATATTTCCAAAGTTAAACGACTCTCACATCTAAAGCTACATATCTTGTATCTAAAATCTTTAATAACTAATTCTTCCCAAAAGGCTAAAACATAATTCTATTCCAATGCAGTCAAAAAAACACCCATGCAGAGTTGTTTATTTTTTTAATTTTTAAACTCAAAATACCACGGTTGTTTCAAATAATTGATTACCAAGAACTTTAACAAAAATACCCGAACATGTTATTTAATATCTATTTCATCTACTTTTCAAACAACTGGGGCAGGGATATGTAACAGGAAGTTTCATACCATTTTTTTCTGTCCACTGATTATGAATGTTGACTAACCTGTTCAAAAGGGCTTTTTGTCTTAATGCCCTTCCCACCACAGAAGACCCAGTTGTCTCTAAAACCAAGATTAGTGATGGATGTGCTCCCCAACTCAGCAATGAGCCGCCGTGCTTCATCATTCAATCTTAAAACAAAAGAAGAATGTGTCGCTCAACATAAAGTACTATAGGTTAACACGGAGTCACCCTGGATACTTAATAAACATGAAGTCTAGATATCACCTAGGATACTTGACAAATAAGCCTTCATTGAGAGAGCATTAAAAAATAAATTTGTTCACAAAATTAACATTTCTATTTTAATTCTTTAGTAACAAAAACACATGGAATATTTGATCTAGTATCTTCTAGATGTTTGCGTTTCATAAAAATTTTGCTTTCATTGAATTATTTTAATTACATGTATCAAGTACGTAAGGGGTACTACTGTTAGTAGATACTTAGCCAAGCTAATCCAAGGCCTTCAGCTTCATACAAATAATTAGCACTTAGAATATCCACTAAATCCTTTGAAAATTATGTGCAAATGGATAAAGGTAAATATTGACAGAAATTTGGGTACTTCTAGCACTATTGTTTTATTTAAAAAAAAAAAATACTGTAATCCCAGCACTTGGGAGGCTGAGGCAGGAGGATCTCTGTGAGTTGGAGACCAGCCTGGGCTACATAGTGAGTTCCAGGTTAAGTCTCAACTACATAGTGAGACCTTGTCTCAAAAAAAAAAAAAAAAAAAAAAAAAAAAAAAAAAAAAAAGAAAACAAAACAAAAACAAAAACAAAACAAAATAAATTCTGAGAATAGGGATATAAACTGGATTTCAGTTATTTTATGAAAATGAAAATATTAACCACAAAGCAGGTAAATATTTAGCAGAAGGGGAGGGCAGTGACAAAAAGCTATGTAGGAAATATTAATTTAAAACTACCACTAAATTTTTTAATAGGTTATCATTCTAAAGTTGAGTGATTTCACCTCTCCCTCCCTTCTTGTCTCTCTAGGAGGGAAAGAAACTCAGTAGATAAATGCTAGCTATGCAGAGAGAGAGAGAGAGAGAGAAAAAGGCAAGAACAAGAAAACTAAGAGTCACCTATACAGGTTCTCTGACATAAAGTTCTACAGAATATCGCTCAAAAAACCACTCTTCCAGGTCAATAAGATAGGTCTGTTCTGCTAAAACCTGCATTTGCAAACAGCAGGAAGATGGTACTTATTCATTCATGTTTCAGTGATCTTTCACATACCCCACGTTCTGTTAACTCCTTCAGTATCTTAATGAAAAAAAATTAGGTATAATATTCAGTGAACAGAAAGGCATATGGGATACTGTGTTTTTCAAAAAGCTTATGAAAGAACCAATATATCATTCAAATTTCATAATTTATGCCATTCATGTCCACGGGGCAAGGGGATGGTTCTGACCACAGTTTAGGCACTGCTATCTACCTGGGGAAAGTACCCTGGAGTCAGTGAGAAAAAAAGATAGTCCTGGAATACTTTTAGTCTTTTAGACTCACCTCTACATGAGGTGATATATTAGAACCACGTGAATGAAAACGAAGTGAAATGTCTCTTCGCAAAAAGAATGTGTCATCCCAGCCTCTGGTAGGATCTGAGACCTTCACATGAAATGGTGTACACATGCTTCTCATTTTTGCCCCAAAGTTCCTCCATACATTTATCTCCTGTGACCATCATTATAAGAATCAGTTGTCACTTTCCATTTGTTTGCTCCACTGACAGGCAAATTTTGTCCTGAAGAGAAACTCCCTAAAGTACAGTATTGCCTGAAGCCTATTTTCTCATTTCCAAATAATGTTGGGACACTGTGGATCTGGAAGATGTAAAATTTTTCCCATATAGTTTATCTAAAATGTTCAGTTGTATACCTGCTTTCTGAGAACTCTTCACTTCCATCAACACTAGTTGGATTTTGATGCTCTAACAAGAATAAACAGCAGGTTTACTGGGTACCTAAGTGGTTGCCTCCTACAGAAAATATCAGAGATCCTTCATATTTACAAGTCAGAAAGACTACGAACTGCCATCTCACAGGCCTTCGTGGTTGCCCAGAAACAGTTTAAATCAGCTAAGAAATACAAGGAAGAGCAGTCTGTCATTGTTACTTCTGTACTTGTCAATTTCAGAAGTGATCACTATAGTCTGTATGAATAAAGCAAGCCAATTTCACCTGAGATCTAGAGGTAGCCTGGAGACTTAGCTTTACATTCTGAGTCTATTAATATCTTTCCTTGCTTTGCCAATGAGAACAGCCTGAGGTTCTGTGCTGAAAAATATTGCCCTTTGTTGATTTTGCTTTCTTTTCTTTTCCTGTAACAAGTCATAGCTATGAGTCCTAGAGAAACCTCAAATCCTGTCCAACATCCCTATGTATAACTATAGTTTTATAACAAGAGGTCTTTCTCAATTCAATGCCTTCTAAAGTTTCATGATCTAAGTATAATTTGACGGTTCTTCGATTACTTTTTGATATCTCCTATTTAATTGACAATTTCATAATTTAAAAGGAAGTTTATGTAACTCAGCCTATAAGTTAAGCAACATATAAAATATAAAGTAGGTGTTTAAATACCCATTTCTTTAGAATAACTAACATATTTATATATAGCATAAAGTTTGGATATATAAGCTTTTCATTTTGTATAGGATAAGAGTATCATGAGTTAGATGTTTATATACTCCTTACTGATAGTCTTAATAGGCTGAGTTAAAATTTTATGTTTTCTAAGTTATTTTAGTGAAGAATTTTCTTTAAAATGAACAGACAATAGACCTATGATAAACCAGGGAGAGTCAGAGACAGGGACTATGATTTTCTAGAGACACCCTAATGCTACACAGGGAAATCTAGAGCTGAAAGAGGAAGCGAGGGATGGAGATGGGAGTCCAGGGGCACTGCGTGAATTCTTGCTGGGAAAGGAGGCACACTTGTGAGTCCTAAGTCATGCCATCAAGCCACACCTACACCTCCTTTTTCAAGGCAGAGACAGCAATAAGGAGAACTGAGGCTATGGGCTCCATTCTGATCAGTAGGAAAAACTAATTGGGAAGCATAAGTATCAGAAACTTAGAAATCGCCACCTTACTAATAGTTTGCAAAGTAAGAAATACTAATATAAGTGGCTTTCAATCCCAGACTTGAAAAACCACTTATTACAGAAAGTGAAATTCCTATGAATGAATATGACTCTAAAAACAAAGACCACCAATAATTTTCACTAAAGGGACAGGGATTTAGCTCAGTGGTGCTGCTGCCTGCCTTGCAAGAGCAAGGAACCGAGCTCAATCCCCAGTACCAAAACAAACAACAAAACAGATCAATTTTTAAAATAATAATAATTTTCACTAGATGATTTCTAACAATCCCAGAAAAAAAATGTTTCTAAATTAGCGCTACTACAGGAGCAAAATGGGCTCAAAGTTAAAAAACAACGCTTTTAAAGAGAAAAGGCAGACTATGCTACTAGTAACAAAGTTTTTAATACCACTATAAGGAAGACCTGTAATGCTCATAATAATAAGATGCATAAAACTATTAAAGGATTTTTGCCACTAAGTGTAAGTAATGAAGGGATATACTGTTTCACAAGAAAAATGATGCATAGTACTGCCAGATCAAAACATGACTGTCCATGGAGGCAAGCATTCTTTGACCAATATAAAAAATGGGAATAGCAGCTCAAGAACATTCATGAAAATGCTCTAAGGTGAGCTAAGCTCCAGGTCCACAAATGTCACACATTCAGATTCTAGAGGAACTTGTTAATATAATCTTCAAGCTAGTGTCAATGTTATTTCAGAAAATGGAGGTGCTAAGGCATTTACTTCAAGAAGGCAAGGAAAATTTTAGAAATAATGGTCCAGTTAAATTAATTCCAATTCCTACCAAAATTTTAGGATGGCAAACAATAAAAAGAGGTGTATTAAAATAAAAGAAGGAAAGAAACAAGGAGTAATGGCAAAGAAAGAGGAATAAATAAAGCCAAGCAATGACATCTCAGCTATTTCAGCTATGTGTCAGTAGATTAGGGTACAGTAATTAGCATGGTCCATGAATCTCAAGTGAGCATCTGATAGTCTCAGAAAATAGCCTCTAGGAGTAAAATAATAAAACTGCAGCTGGATGCTATGCTTACTGGGATACACTGGCAGCTATTTGGAAAGTAATTTCTGCAGTTGATTAACAGATGAATCCCTTGGAGGAAGAGGCCTCTAGCAGAGTGGCACAATGCCCTTGGTAAACATTTGTATCAATGACTTATATTTAAAGAACAACTTTGGAGAGAGTACAAAGCCTGGATTATGGAAACCTTGTAGGACAAATGTCAGAATCAAGACCACATAGGCCAAAATCAGCCAAATTAAATTTAACAAGAATAAATGAATATAAAGTCCTTCATTTAAATTAAACAAAATTGTGTTCTGAATGGGGAGAAAGACCTGACTTGGCAATGGTTGAACAAAAAATAATTTTTAAAAGTCTGAGATCAAATGAAAGGATCTGAGAATTCAACTTGACCAAAAGCCTGTGAGCCAAAAATGGGATATGAATGTTTCAAGAAAACTAATATAATACTAGTCTGCATGAATATTCAAAGAAATGTAATCTCTAAAACACGGCAAGCTAGCATCTCCACTGTACCCTGTACTGGCCAGACCACATCTGGAAAACTATGTTTCATTTGGGCACTCATTTTAAGAGAGACAGTAATCAACTAAAGAATGTCCAAGAAGTATAGCCAGGAGAGTAAAACAAACTAGAAATTAACACAGTACAAGGCTGAAAGAGCCATGTGTGTTGTGCCTGGAAGAGAAAACTAAAAAAGAAATGCCAATTTACTTCAAATTCTTGAAGTATCAAATGACTTGGAGAACATTTACTGTTCTGTTGTTCTGTATACTCAAGTTAGTGACTGTTAGGCAGAAGTGAGAGGAAACCCACCCTGAGGATATAACATTTCTTTATGAGTTCGTTGTGTTTGTTTCAGATCCATACATGGCAACTTCATCAGGTGAGGGGTGAAGTAGAGATATTCAGTACACATTCCAACAAAACCTCACTGAGCCTGGGGTCTTGCCTCATATGGCTTTAAAGGTCCTTTCTTAATCCAAGGAATCAACACTAAAACCTTCACTTAGGCGACAATTTATTCTTGCAATATCAGCATATTAAAAAGAATAGCTCTGAGTCCTATCAGGTATAATATAGTAAAGAAGAAAGGTTACGTGTGTCTAGTCAGAAAATGGGAACGCTTTAAATGTTGAAACCTCAAACAATACATATAAGATTCCATTCTCCCTGCCAAAGCAAATAGCAAGTTGCCTGTTTTTTTGGTAAAATGCCTAATTACATTCTGTTTGGTTCTATTTAGCTACATGGAGATGACTGAATTTGCCAGTACTAATATTGATTTTCCACTTACAGATTTAAAATATCCTTACAGAACCAGATAAAATTCAAAATGCCAATGAAACTACTTCAGTCTGGGATCATTCACAACATAGCACTATTTTATTAGTATAAACCTCCAAAATATAACTATATACTAAATATCTTCATAAAAATCAATAAATAGAAAGATATGCTATATTCTTATGTGTGTCTTATAGTAAAGCCTTTTCGATTAAAATTTGTAAGATTTTATTCTTTAAAAAAATAAGGAAAACAATAGAAAAAAATTTAAAAAGATGGAAAAGGTATGAAGTATATTTAACTTTATAAGATAGTTATAATTTAAATATTATTTTTAGGAATACAAGTAAATAGGTTAATAAAACAGAAATTCCCAAAGCATAGGTCAACATAAGAAGCTGGTGTTATAAAGGCATTGTACACCTCAGGGAAATTACAAATATATATTTTTTAAACGCAACATGGCTGTGAAATCACTGCAGCAAAATGTATTAATAATCCAATTTGGAGATGAAAAATATTTCAAGTTTAAAATCAGAAAAAACTAAAAAACAAATTCCACAAACTTGACTATACATAATGTCCAAGCACCATAAATTAACAAAATTAAAAGCAAATGATGTCCCAAAGATACATTTTAAAAATGAGAAATGGTTAATATTATAGCATCTAAGCACTCTTACAAATCAGTATGGGTCAACTTAAATGGTCAAAAGACAATTTATTAAAGAATACCAAATCAATCAAACACATCATCTTTTTTGAAAGCCTACATATGGTAGTGTATGTCTGTAATCCCAGCTACTCCAGGGGCTAAGCCTGAAGGATCTCAATTTAAGGTCAGTCTGGCAAACTCAGTGAGAACTATCTCAAAATATAAACATATTTTAAAGGGGTGCGGCCATCATTTGCTAGGCAGGTACCTCAGTGGTAGAGTAACTTGCCTGGTATGCCTGAGCTCCTAGGTTAAATCCCCAACACTGCAAAACAATAAGCCAAAAACAAAACAAAACAAAATGAAAAAAGAAAAAAACACACTTGAACTTTTAGAACTGAAACTTTAAAATATTGGTGCCCAAAAACTTCTGAGAAAAATATGGTTTGCATCATTTGTAAAAATACTCTTCTTAAAGAGAGAACATTGTTTTAATTCAACAATTTCACTTCAAATATCTAACTGAGGAACACAGACACAGATGACTTTAAGATAACTCATTTTGCTAAGTACCAAAATTGGAAAATGCCTACATTCTAACAACAGGCATCCAAATTAAACAAATTAAATCAAGACATGTTTAAAAACTAGGCTAGGCAGACATGAGCAATTTTGTTATGAAGAATATTCCATATGGAAAAAGTCACCACATATGTGGAAAGTATGCTATAAATGCTATCGTTCTAAGTATTTAAAATATGTGCATTAAGTCAGTTGGAATGGAAACTAAAGTGTTATCAGTGGTCATCCCTGTATGATGAGATGAACTGTAATTTATTTTCTTCCTTGTGCTCTTCTGTGTTTTCCAAATTTTTACAATATATACAATTAAAAAAATGACATTATTACCACCTACTAAACTTTGCAACAAATAGTATCATTACTATAGCTTTAAATTCTACAGCTATGATCAAAAGTGTAAAAAGAAAAAAAAGTCATAAAGGATGTTTATCACAATGTTATTTATAACATGAAAAATCTGGTGATGGGGAATTTTAAACACAGTTTACCCCATACTGTAAACTGATGGCACTGAAAAATGGTACTAAAGAATATTAATTCCAGAGAAAACAATTTAAGGTTGCTACACAGAATATAAAATGAAGTATGAAAGAATTCATGGACAATGCATTTCTAATTCTACAACAATACATGCATGATAAATGTTTACACAGAAAGACAGGAAGGACACAGCCTTTCAGAACACTGCTAACACCTGGGCCTGGGCACCTCAGTGGTACTTCTAGCTCCTGAGACGGCTAAGGTGGACTGCAAAGCTGAAGCCCAGCCTGGGCAACTGAGATGGTGCTTCAAAATAAAAAAAAATTGAAAGGGCTGGGAATATAGCTCAGCATTCCCTGGGTTCGATTCTCAATATTTATTAGCTGAAGAAATATCAGATAAGTTGAATTGTTTGCAAAAAAAAAGAAAAAACTGTTAATGATGTTTATCTGGTAGTTGCATTATCTTGCTCTGTGTAACAAATAGTGTTCCATGAAAACATGTTGCTTTTATGATTACAAAAAGTTGAGCTAACTTTGACGTTTACATACTTGGTCGCTCCATCATCATATGTTCCCATTAAAACTATTGTTCCATCCTGTATGCCCTTCAAAAACTCAATAAACGGAGCCACGTCTGAAAAAGAGGAAAGGGTTGGATTTTAAATGAACAGCTGCCGTAATCATTTCTAAAATTAGCATTAAAAAATAGGAAATAGCTATAAAGCAATAATTTCTAGTGAAAAGTCATCCACAAAGGAGGCAAATCTTATAGAGTTTAAAAACTGTCAAGTTTGCTCCTTCATTAGACCACTATCATCTTACAGTTTCCTGTCATGTAACCTGTCTTTCACACTCATATCCATGGGAGTAATGCAAATCCAAAGCAACTTAAAATAATCTTCCAGGTATATATATTTGCTAACAATTGGCAAAAAGTAACAAATGGTAAAAGCAAAACTATTTCATGACAAATATTCCAATTATCCCGTGTACCAGGACTATACGGATTTCAAAGTAAACCGCCTGAGTGACTACAAACTGGTGATGCCAGATAGGTCAGGTACTACAAATCCCTTTACATCTTGAGCTCTACGACGTCAGGGTTCCCTATACTGAGTCTAACAGTATTTCAAAATGGGGTTACTTCAAACTTTCTCATTTTTTTCCAAAATAAAAATTCCAAAGATTTTCTCTAATTGATATTTTATAGTAATAGCACTGTTGATTAAAAAAAAATGTAACAAGGCAGCCAGCAAATTGTTCCCATTTAAATACAAAGATGGCAGTAGACTACAAGTATTTCTGAAGTGAGAGAGTGCGTGCAGTAGTAACTGAAGTGCCTGTGAGGAGAGAAGTTGGGACCACCACAGCTTCTGGTCACAGGCTGAAGTTCGGGGATAGGTTTGTAGTAGTGTCTCCATCAACTTTAGTAGGACTGATAATATCTTTAGAATCTAGAGTTGATGGTACCATTTTATATAGCTTTGACAGCTATGAAATCTGTCTCCAAATCTTAATATGCAGCATTGTATAATAAGCTGAAGAAATATTAGATAAGCTGGACTACCTGAAAACTCTCAATGTAAATTTCAAGGAGACTAATTGTCGTTGGAGTCTAGGGATGTGTAGGTGCACATCAAAAGATAAACCAGTGTTGGCTTTCCTTCACTGAAGAAGAAACCTTTTGGAAGCCATCACTTTTCCTCAGGGTGCCTGTCCCTTGCTCTTGTATATGTTGGAGTCTAGGGATGTGTAGGTGCACATCAAAAGATAAACCAGTGTTGGCTTTCCTTCAAAGCTGAAGAAGAAACCTTTTGGAAGCCATCACTTTTCCTCAGGGTGCCTGTCCCTTGCTCTTGTATGGTGGTGACTTCTTCCCACTCCGAGGAGTTCCAAATACAGAAGGGAAAAATATTTGTGGATGGCTCTAAGTCCATGGAATTAGAAAATTCTATTCCATCTTTCAGATATCCATCTGCTTTAATAGTCAGCTATAACACTGTCAGAAAATGGAACTAAAATAAATTGATACATTATTGCTTTTCTAAAACCTGACATTTTATCTTGTATGTCTAAGAGTCCTTTTTCATGATTCTTAAAACTGCAAAATCATATGGAACTACAAATCAATTCAGTCAATGTTTAAATTAGCTATGCTGGTTTTCCAATTGTTTTTTTTAAACTTCAGATAGAAACCTAAAGGACCCCAGGGCTCTGAAATAGTTGCCCTGTAGAAGAGAGGACTTAAGATGTTTTAAAATCTCTATATTCATGTTATTTTTTCTCTCACTGAGTTTATTGGAACACTTTAAGTATACAGTACAGTTACATTCATTATTGGGATCTTGTGCCTTTACATGACAGGTCTTGGCTCTCATTTTTTCCCCCACATATCCCTGCCCTCTCTCACTCCCTCCTCCCCTTCCCTATTTACAAAAACTTTATTTCCATTTTTTTCATTTTCTCAGATTTTTTTATATTCATGTTATTGTACTCAGTGACATACCACAATTTTATTAATCAAAAAACAGTATGGCTGATCACTTAGTTGGACATTTAGTGCAAAGAAACAAAATGAACACACAAATGGTACCATTACTCTCTCATTACCCTATATTATAGAATTAAGTCAGTGCCAACAGAAGAGTTAGAAATTATTCACACATACCTCCTCCCCACATGTCAAAATATTTAGTGTCTAATACTTCTCCTGTTTTGCCTGAAAAAGAATGAATTCAGATCGAATTATGCAAATGAAATACACTACAATGTAGAAGACAAATGGTTTTATTCAATGATTGGTGTGCATTCATTAGTAGTGAAGGAATTATGAGAACTTAAAATCAGAAATATATGTACTATGCATATATGAAATTTTTTTGTAGAATAACTTTTGGATAAGACTTTCTCATTAATCTTTTACACACAGAGTGGCAAACAGAAGTTCATTTCTGAGGGAACACTACTTCAATTCAAAGTTACAAATGTTTCATCCTTACGTGTTACCATATTCTAAAAACTATATAACCTTTTTATAGCAAAGAAATATGTAGTGAATCAGGTATCACTGTTTTGTTTAAACAACTGTATTGAACTAAAAATTTACATAGCACACAGTTTACAACTTAAAATGTAAACTTCAAAAGATTTCAGCACTTTTGAGTCATATACTATTTTCTACAGTAAAGGCATTTTAAAATTTACATTTCTTCTTGAAAAGGGGTTAAATGGATATTGAATGCTTTAAGAAAATCAAAGTAGAAAGGCAAAAATTTATCTCTTATGAAAGAAATAAAAACTATTCTCCTATAAGACAAATGGAATGAAGGGGCTGGTGGTTTATAACCATGCCACACATTTTTGTAGGTATTTATACTCAAACAATGGGCATCAGTATGGAGTCAGCCCTCACTTCATGGCTTAGATTTTAGATTCAGTTTTCAAGTTATTCAGGATCCAATGAACTTATCTACACTAATAAACTTCTGAAAAGAATGTGGACAACATTAAAAAGTACAATAAATTCTTACCCTTTGTTCTTCCTTCCACCTACCCAAGAGCCCACAATCCTCTGTTACCTTACACATCTCATTCCTGCTACCTACCTCAATTTTATGCTAGCATTCCAAAATGTACAGCAAGAGTCCATCAATTTAACATTAGACTGTTTTTCCCTAAGAGTTTCCACAGGAAGTCTCCACACAGTGTACAGACCTAAGATGCTTCTGACAAAGTATACTATAAATAAATACTCAGGCACCAAGTTTCCATCTCGAGTGGTTTAAGGGATGGGTTGTAGTGTCAAGAGTGGCATTTTCTAACCTGATCCCTGCATGCAAGTGCAATTTTACTTTGGGGCACAAGACTATTTGTTGTTTACATCCGTAAGTTACAATAACTATTTTTACCATTGGCCAAGGCAACATTAATTCCTCTTCCAACATTATTCTTAACACCACTCATCAACCTAAAGGGGAAAAAGTCAAGACAAATTTATTAGAATTAAGTTTTGGCACATCAACATTTATCATAGAAATAAAGTCATTAAAAAAGAATGTTATATACACGATTATTCAGCACTGCAGAGGCCGTAGAGAGGCCTCTATAAATTAGAGAAGACAGTATAATAACTGAGTAAATTTAAAGGAATCCTTAAATAATACTTCACAAGTAAAAATATATATTAAAAATTATTAGGGCTGAAACACTAGACTATTTCTTGCTGTTCTGTATCACATTATGGATACCATATTAGAAATCTTTAAAGCACGTGGACATTAAGCACACATTCTTCACAATATTAAGGGGTTAAGCAACAGATGATTCTCCCTTCCACTTTCTGCGGTTTCAGTGTAACGAGAAGGAGTGATATGCTGCCTATATCGTACAATATGAAAACAAGTAGAGGAGGGAGTGCTCTTTTGTGAATGCTTCACAGAACTGTGAACATTCTCCTAGTGATTACCCAATGTAAAATTTCCCTACACTCAGAAAGCATAGTGTACTCATCTAATCACTGTATCTCACCACAGTCATGCATATGGTCTGTGTAAGATAATCAGCATCCAATGGTACCTCACAGCCCACCATATAAAAACAATGACACTGAGAAATGGAGGGCATGGGAGGAACATGTGCTTATGATTAGTTTGTTCAGTTAGAATTCTTAAACTAAAATTGTAGATAATTTTAATATTAAAACTTCAAGGTATTAGTCATATCCCCAGTAGCATGCTAAATGTTTAACAACTGGTTTAAGGTCAGTAAGGGTCGGCATGCAGACATGTGAATATGTATATACAAACATGATACATAACTGACAGACTTTCTGACATAAATGATACGTAGCACACATACCCACAGGACCTTGCATACTTTACTCTAAGTTCCACTCATTCATGGATGAGTGCAGTTCCAACACAAATGTTGGATGCCAATATCATTTATGTCACAGTAACAAAAAGCTAAAATGAAGATTTACTTCAAGAACCTGTACTCTAACAAAAAGGAGAACACAGAAAAAATGGACAGATTTCTAGATACATATGAATTACCAAAGTTGAACGAGGAAGATATAAAAATTCTACACTCCACTTACAATCAGTGAAACTGAAAATGTAAAATTTACCAACAAAGAAAAGCCCAGGTCCTCATGGCTTCACTGCTGAATTCTATAAAACATTTGGAGAACTACTGCCACTACCCTTTAAACTTTTCAATGAAATTGAAAGGAAAGCAATACTTCCAGATTCATTCCTAGAAGCAAGTGTTACTTTCCAAAACCAGGGAAAAACCCAACCAAAAAGGAAAACCACAGACCAATCTCCCTAATGGATAAAGATTCCAAAATCCTCAATAAGATACTGGCAAACAGAATACAGAAGGGTCATCAAGAAGATCATACACCCTGACCAAGTCAGATTTATCCCAGGGATGCAAGGATGGATCAACATACGAAAATCAATAAATGCAATACACTATGTTAACAGTCAAGGACAAAAACCATGTGATCATCTCAAGTAACAGCAGCAAATAAACATATGAAAAAATGTCCAACATCACTGGTCATTTGAGAGATGAAAACAACAATGAGATTCCATCTCACCCCACAAGAATGGCTGTTATCAAGAAATCAATAACAAATGTTGGCGGGGTTGTGGGGAGAAAAGAACCCTTCTTCACTGTTGATGGGAGTGCATACTGGTGCAACCACTATGGAAATCAATATAGAGATAACCTCAAACAACTAAGATTAGAAGTCCCATTTGACTCAGCTATTCCTCTGCTGAGTATCTTCCCAAAAGAATTAAAAGTATCATACCACAGTGATATATGCACACCCATGTTTATAGTGGCACAGTCTGTAATAGCTAAAACTTGAAAACAGCACACATTTGACCATCAATTAGAGATTGGATTAAGAAGATGTGGTTTTTCTATAAAATGGAGTACCACTCAGCCATAAAGAATGAGAAGCCAAGATATTTATTGCTAAGTGGATATATATTGAGACCATACTCTTAACTGAAATTAATAAGTCACACATGTTTAAGTACTGAATAGTTTCTCTGGCCTTCTCCCATCCCAGCCGCCATTGCTCCAGTGCTAGGAGGTAGCCTGGGCCCTGATCCACTGCGGGAAGGAGAGCCACGCCTTCTCCCACCCCAGCCACCATCGCTCCGGCGCCAGGAAGGTAGCCACACAGGTGCCCCTGAACCCCCATAACTCCCCTTACCACTCCCACTGTTCACTCTTAGACCTCCTGATTGAGCCAGTCTTTGGACCCACTCTGGAGAGCCAGAGGTGGTCATAAAGGGTATTTTTCTGAGTTCCCAACTTTGAACATCTTTAAAGAAAGGGCGTGGGAAACGTGTAGTAGAATGGTGTAGAGTTCAACCACTCAGAAGGTTGGGGAACTCAATCTGGGCCTTGCAGCCCAAGGTCAGTCTGTGTCATGGGGTTCAGCCATCAGCTAACTGAGATCAGGGGTCCTGAGTCCTAGCTCTGTCTGAACCATTAAATGGTAAATATACTATATTGAAATTTTGTTCACTGCAGACATGTTCTGGACTGCTTCTTGATTTCAATTTAATTCAAATGATTTAAGGGTGATAGACTAGTGACTGCCACAATGGTCAGTTTCCAAGTTGTGCTTGATCATATTGTGTTGCTGATTGTATCAGTTGGGATAAAGGATTGTGGTTGATTCGATGAGCTGTTTTCTCTGATGTTATGAAGATGAGAATGTCTGTAGGTCGTTAGAGACCCAGAAGCTAGGGCGCAATTATATCAAGAAGATTTGGGTGATAACCCAGAGAATAAACCAAGGACCGTCCAACAACAAAAATAAAAATGAGAAAACACTTAAGGAAGACACAAAGACAGACTTCCAGTTCACCAATGGCAAACAGTAGGGCAAATGAGGAAGAAAAGGCCAATAATCAATCACCAGGACACCCTGAACTCAAAGCACAGGAAGTAACAAAACAGATCAATCAGGCTCTAGAAAAATTCAAAACAGAAATAATTTCCCAGATAACCATAGAGATAGTGAGCAAAATGGAAGTCGTGATTCGAGACTCTAGAGCAGAAACTGACAAAAAAAAACAGATGAGCTCAGGACCATGATAGAAGCCATGAAGGCCCAACATAAGAAAGAAATGGAAAAAATAAATGCCCAACATAGGAAAGAATCCATAAAACAGATTCAAACAGATATCCAGGAGATTAAACACTCCATTGAAAGTGTACGCAACAGAATAAAAGAATGCGAAGATAGACTCTCAGATATAGAAGATAAGATTGCAGTCAGTGACCATGAAAAGAGAGGTCTCTTAAAAAATAGTAGGGGATCATGAGAAATTGACCCAACAACTCCTAGATAATGCAAAGAAGAATAAGACTGATAGGAATCCATGACGTAGCAGGAGAAAATACAAATGACTTACAAAAGCTGTTCACATCTGCATCTCTCGAATGACCAGTGATGTGGAACATTTTTTCTTATATTTTCTTGCTGCTTTTACTTCTTTGTCTGAGAAATGTCTGTTCATTTCAGATGCCCATTTTTGAATCGGGTCTTTATACTTGGGGGGACTGATTGTTTTGAGTTCTTTATATATTCTTAATAGTCCTTTGTCTGAGGAACAGCTGGTAAAAATTTTTTCCCACATTGTAGATTGTCTCTTAGTTCTGCTGATGGTTTCTTTTGAAGTACAGAAGCTTTTTAGTAAGATGAGATCCCAGTTGTTGATTCTATCTGCTAGTTCCTGTGCTACTGAGGATTTGTTCATAAAGTCTTTTCCTATACCAATGTCTTCCAGAGTTCTGCCTAACTTACCATCCAGCAAGTTTAATGTTTCTGTTTTAATATTTAGATCTTTAATCCATTTGGATTTTAATTTAGTGCATGGCAAAAGATAAGGGTCTAATTTTAATCTGTGGCAGGTTGACATCCAGTTTTTCCAACACCATTTATTAAAGAGGCTATCTTTCCTCCACTGAGGATGGTGAGCTCCTTTGTCGAAGATGAGGTAGCTGAGTACATCTGCATTTGTTTTTGTGTCTTCCAGTCTGTTCCATTGATCCTCAGGCCTATTTCTTTGCCAG